GACCAAGTTCCTGACCACTGATAGGTCATGAAGAGCATTGGCACGTCTCTCTGCAGGCTTGGACTGGCCAGAGCTGATGTCTTGCAGGTGGGCATAAGTCTGTCTCATTCCCTGCCTGCTGCCCTCTCCCCACGAAGTAGGAATGCAGGACGGTTTGGGTATCTAGAATGGAGGACTCCTAATTGAGTATGTAAGAAAGATCTTTGGCTATTCCAGCTTGGGGGAGGCTCTAAATTTATGAAAGTTTGAAAAATATAAGAAAAAAAAAAGAAATATATAAGGAAAACATGAATCAGAGACAAAAGCACTTAGAAAATTAGTTTCCCAGCCAGGTGTAGTGACACATATTTGTTTTGTTTTGTTTTTTTTTGCAGAACCGGGGATTGAACTCAGGCCCTTGCACTTGCCAGGGAAACGCTTATTCCACTGAGCCATCTCCCCGGCCTCATTGTGACACATATTTGTAATCCCAGCACTCGGGAGGCTGGGACAGGAGGATTGCTTTGAGTTGGAGGTCAGCCTGGGCTACACAGTGAGACCCTGTCTTCAAAAAAGAAATCTCCAGATGCAATGGCACACATCTATAATCCCAGCACTTGGGAGGCAGAGGCACAAGGATCCTCATGAGCTCGAGATCAGCCTGGGATACAAAGTGAGCTCAAGGCCAGCCTAAGTCACATAATGAGGCCCTGTCTCAAAACAAAAAAAGAAAATTAGTTTCCCAATTATAGGGGAAAGGAGAACAGAAGGAAAAGAAAACCCAATTAAATGTATGTTGTAAAATATATCCAGATTGCTCAGTCAGGCGCATACAGGGACCCTTGACTGTTGTCTGCCACTAGATAAGAATAATACAGTTGGACCTCAAAGACCACCTTGCCAGTGATGCTGCCACTCTTGGGGATACAAAAGCAGTTGTGCACAGAATTAGACCAGGCTTGGCTGAGAACCAAAACCAGAGTCAGAGAATAGCACAGAAAAGGAGGTGAGAGGGTGGCCTCGTGCCACCAGATATCTACCCAAGAACTGAGACAGGTGGCCTGATATCAGACAGCTCAGGTGTCCCTGAGCCTCCTGATTCAGTAATGAGGAACTGAATCCTCCCTGGCCCAGACAGGGAGCCAGTGCAACCAAACAATTTAGGAAGGCAATTTACTTGCAAACAATGCTTATGAGGGAGCCTAGGCTTTAGAAGAAATGGTCTTGATCCACCCTCGTACAACACTTATAGGGGAAATCAGCAAATCTCTGCAAGCCTGCCAAGAGCAAAAGTTTGCAGTTAGTTCTTAGTGGGAAACAGGAATTTTCCCACACGGCTACTGTCAAAGGACAAACATACAGCACTTCACTATATATATTTTTTTTGGGGGGGGGAATTGAGACAGGGTCTCACTATACAGTTCACACTGGCCTTGAACTCAGGCTGGACTCAAACTCACAGCGATCCTCCTGCCTCATCCTTCCAAGTGCTGGGATTACAGATGTGCATCACCACGCCTGACTCACCTTTACTTTTTTTTTTTTTTTTTAGTGGTACCAGGAATCAACCTCAGGACCTTGCACTTGCCAGGCAAGCACTTATTCCACTGAGCTATCTCCTAGGTCCCATCACCTTTACATCTTAATTGGTTTTCTCTTTTAATAACAGAAATTAGTGAGATAGAAGCATTCTATTAGGCAATAAGGACAGGAGCACCAAAATAAAGTCAGGAAATTCTCAAAAATGGAATCTGTTGAGTTCTGACCCTCTGTCACCATGTTTGGTCTCTGCCCAAGCTTAATTCATCCTGCTGTAGCAGGCTCACTGACTCCCATCACAGAAAAAAGACTTTTCAGAGTGCTCCAGAGAGGCCCAAGTAGGATTTATTGGGCAAAGACAGAGCATATGTGTTTATTATAGAATGAAAGCAGAAAGCAGCCTTTATAGTAAATGAGAGCAAACAACCCTCAGAAAAATAAACCTGGGAAGCGGCCCAAAAAGGATTGCGTAAAGAGACCCCTCAGCTTAGGGCTTTTGTACTACAAAATGACTCTATTCTAAAGCTATTGGTACAAGCACCAAAGATGTTCTTTAGATGGATATAAATATCTTGTTCCTGTGCAAGAAAATTCTGCCAGGCTAATGAGGCCTCTGTTGAGCTTCCCGGCTTTACCCTGGGCCATCATGGGTCCTTCACTGACTCTGACCCCCTCTTTAGCGTGGCCATCTCCTGGCCGCTCGTAACTCCTTTGGCCAGGACCTTGCTCACAGACTCAACATCCACACAAACTGCCAGCCTCCTACAACTTACTGTTTTGAGATGATTTGATTTGTGGCTTGGGTAACTTCCACTGTGGCTGTATCCTAGAAGTTGCAGTATTCTTACTAATTATAGTTGTTAGGATTTCCTTGACCCTTTCTACCTTTTCTTTGTTCTATCCTGCTTTACCTCCAGGAATCTTAGAAAAACATCTGCCAGGTGGACTTTGGCTTTCTGTGACCTCCCCAGAACTGGATCAGGCAGGCCACTGCCTCAAAGGCACACAGGCCTTGCATGGACACTGGGAGTTATACTACCTGGACCCTAAAAAGTATGTAATCTCTTATAGGATAGAGATTATAGTGCTTATACATCAGCCCGAGCTCCTTTTTTTTTTTTTTTTAATAAATTTTATTTATTTATTTATATGTGTCTGTGTGTGTGGCCAGCTCAGCCCACCAGGGGGCGGGGCTGGCTGGCATGTGGTGCTGGGGATTGAACCATGGTCCCTGTGCTTTGCTTAGCTTAGCTTGTTATAAGCGGGTGCTTTAGACCACTGAGCCATCTCACCAGCCCCCGAGCTCCCTTTTAAACCTCTTAAAAACTCCCAACCAGTGATACTGAATCCATGAGAGTTTTCTTTTCTTTTTTTTTTTTTTTTTGCGGAACCGAAGATTGAACTCAGGCCCTTGTGTTTGCCAGGGAAGCGCTTATTCCACTGAGTCATCTCCCCGGCCCATCTATGAGAGTTTTCAATGATTCAAACAGCCCAGTGCAGCGCGTGTGCCGTGGTTCACCACCATAGTCCTAGACAGAGAGCCTTTCCGGGTTCCCTGCTCAGAACCTCCTCCCAGCCAGTGGAAGATTTATTGCCTTGTCTTTATTTAGTCTTTTAAAAAGATTTTTTTAATCAAAAATAAAAATAAAATTAAAAAATTTTTAAAAATCTTTTATTTATTTGGTATAAGGGATGGCCAGGGAGATGGCTCAATAGAATAAGTGTTTGAGTGGCAAACTCAAGGGCCTGAGTTCAATCCCTGGTTCCACCAAAAAAAAAGAGCTATTTGGTATAGGGTCTGGCTACGCAGCTCAGACTCATGGTGATTCTCCTGTATTAGCCTTCCCAGTTCTGGGATTATAGGTGTGTGCCACCATGCCCGGTGTTTCAGTGACACAATGCACCTGGGCTTCCTAGGCCAGCGCAGCATGTAATACTGGGGGTCAAACCCAGATCCTTGAGCTTTCCAGGCATACATTTAAACTGCCAAGCTATCTCCCCAGCTCTATTTAGTCATTTCGAGACAGGGTCTCACTGTGTAGTTTAGGCTGGCCTTGAGCTCACTTTGTAGCCCAGGCCAGTTTCAAACTCACAATGATCCTCCTGCCTCAGCTTCCCGACTACTAGGATTACAGACTTGTACCATGACACCCAGCTGAATCATTAACTTTGTTTTGTTCTTTCTCCTTGTTCTTGCCTTATATGAAAAATAGCTTTCACATGATTGATCTTCTTTTTGTTTCTTCTCTCACTATCTTTCTATCTATAAAGCCAATTGTATATATGTAAAATACTCTATTCAGTGGAATGAAGTCTTGCCCAATTCTGAAATTAAAAATAAAGCCTGGCACTCACTGGATGTGGTGGTGTGCGTCGCTCTGAATTTGAGAAATTTAGGGGAGCTAATGTAGGGAGTGGCTGAAGCTGGAAATTGGCCTCACGTGTGGGGCAAGGCCCCAGAGTGGGGAGAGCTCCTGGAGGCAAAAATAAACAACTTTCGCCTCCCATTTCGAGAGAGGGCTCCACTTGCCCTCAGCTTTTGTCTCTCTCTCCCTCCCCCCAAACAGGGATTGAACTCAGGACCTTCCGCTTGCCAGGCAAGCACTTATTCTACTGAGCTATCTCCCCAGCCCCTCCTCTCTTATCTTTATTTCTGAGTCCTCTGTTTGTGGGAGCATCTAGAGTTGCCAGAGCTGTGTAGGAGGCAGCAAACCAAGTAAGTCTCTCTCAGCCCTGACAGGACACCTGGCAAACTTCAGATGCTGAAATCCAAGTGTGAGGTACCACTCTCTCATCACCTCCTGAGATGAGCTTGCACAGCAACCTTTGACCTGGTAAAGATATGGATAGGGAAAAAAAATTAGATTCCCCCTCCCCCAAATTTTCCACTTGTTCAATTTTGTTTCTTTGTCCTATTTTTAAACACTTCTGGAAAAAGAAGTCTTTTGGGATCTGAGCTGATACCTCCCAGCCTCACTTTCTTTTTTTGTACAATTGAAATGATACTAGAATCACCCAACCTAGGGGTAACTGGCTCATGTTCTCCCCTTTTTTCTTCAGCTACTAATAAGATCCTGCCTAATCCAGCTATTTTTGGAAGACAGTCTCTGCTCACTTCACCACTTATTAAGTGACTTCTTATTTCTACCAGCCTCAGCTTACATCTGTAAAGTGAAAACACACACACACACACACACACACACACACACAATGACGGGTTTTGGTTTTTGGAAGCCTTTTTTGAGTCTTGAACTTGGATTTGAGAGCTTTTTACTATGGCAACTCTATCTTTAGCCTGTGTCAGACTTAGACGAAGAATAGGTCCTTAGGAAGTAGAGGCAAAGCTGGCTTTTCCTTTAGGAGAAGGTGGACTTCGCTCTTTCCGCTAGTGGTCTCCCGTGGACTACAATTCCCAGCATGCCTCGAGCCACATCTCGCGTTAAGTGCCGCTGTGTCCGAAGGCTTTATTACCAAGGGTGTCGCCCAACTCAGCATCTAGTGCTCGCTGGGTCGAGGTGAGGTTGGTGGTGTTACCGCGGCTGTCACGATGGCATGGGTCTGGACTGTACCCCAACGTCTTGGGAGTCGTGGGTCGTCGGAAGAACATCTTTAGTGGCGGACTTGCGCCGCAGGCATCTTGGCGGCTGCGGGAGAACAGGTGACCAGGTGGCGGCCTACGGCTCGATGGTGCTAAGCTTTGTCCAGCTTGCGGGGGCGCTTCCGGCGCCTCCATCTATACCCGGGCTCGGGAGCCCTCCTTGCGTTCCCTTCTGCCCGTACACCTGCTCAGAGCTCTGCTCGGCCGCGCTTGTCTCGCCGGCCTGGGTGACTCTCATAGGGCTTCTCACTGAGCCTCGGGAGCCCGGCGCTGGGCTTCGCGTTGTCGGCTCGCGCATCCCGGCACCCCCACGCTCCACCCCGGTGTTACTCTTTTCTCAAGCCCCCGCCCTGGCTTCCGTGGGGAGCCTCGGCCTCGGGCCGGTTCTAATCGCTTTAGTATTATCCTCCAAGGGTGGGATAAGCGGTAGTCAGACCGGGCCTTTTGGATCTAGGTGGCTTTGAGTGAAGGAGAAGGTTCTGGGCGGGGGATTGGAGGGAGGGGAAGAGGGGAGTATTTTTGGGTGGGGAATGCTCCCTCGACCAGGAGGATGGCTGAATTTTGATTTTTGCAGTGCTCTTTAGAACTGATTTATTCTCAGAACTTTGTCAGATTAGAAGGGCACAGAAATAAATTAAAAATCAGGTACCTTTCTCAGTTTTTTATTTTTAGCTCCTTTATTTTATTTTTAAAATTATTATTTTTTAAAAAATGTTTTTTAAATGTTTCCTTTATTTCTTTTTTTTTTTTTATGGTCAGCTCAGCCCACCCTGGGGGCGGGGCTGGCATGGCTTGTGGTGCTGGGGTTCGAACCGAGGTCCCTGCTGCTTGCCTAAGCTTGCCTAAGCAGGTGCTTTAGACCACTAAGCTATCTTGCCAGGCCTATTTTTAAAACTATTATTGTTATCTTTTTGAGAAAGGATCTCACTATGCAGTTCAGTCTGACTTTGAGCTCACTTTATAGCTCAGAGGATCTGGACTGTATCCCAATGGAGTTGTGCCACAGGCATCTTGGTGGCTGCGGGAGAAGAGGTGACCAGGTGGCAGGCCTGGGGCTCCTTGGTGCCCAGCTTTGTCCACCTGGTCTCCAGTGATCCTGTCTCAGCCTCCCAGGTGCGGCATTACAGGCACAGGCCTTTAACTCTCCTTTAAAATGGGGAAACTGGCCATCTTTTAGAGAATCCAGGTATCTCTGAGCTTGAACAGAAATTTGGTACAAATAGAGCCTGCTTGGCAGTGTGGCTGCGAGAGTAAAAAGACTTGAAAGGGCTGTACCAATGCTGATTGTTTGTTGTTATCAGAACCTCTGGATGGATTCTTCTTGGAAAGCTTTGCTTGTTTGCAGCAGCTGGAAAATGTTCCTCATTAACATCTGTCTGTCAGCATAGTTGTGACATCATTTCACTGTGGTAAGGTGACTTCTTCACCTAGTGTTTCAACCATGGGTGTGGTGAGACCTTTGACTCCTCCTCACCTGTTTGACATGTTCCTTGTCCATTGGCTCTTGTATGTTTGTTTCAACTTTGTTAAAAAGCATTGGAGCGATCCTTTGGTTTCACCAAGCAAAAATGCTTTTTGTTATTTTTGTCAGGTGACAGGGAATCATCTCCGAATTCTTTATAGACAAACCACCTTGGATCCCAGTTTTTCAATGGCTTCGAGACAACCAGAAGTGCCTGGTAAACTTATTCTTTTTGGTTAAGTCATGTTTTGCCTATCATATTTTAAACTAGACAAAAATAATTCTACCTGAACCATATATTAGTGGTTTTCTGATACTGAGTATTTAGACCTAATAGATTGGTATCATTTGATTATCAGTATCATTACTGTTATTATTACTATTTTTTTGAGATAAGGTTTTGCTATGTAGCACAGACTGGCCTTGAACCCACTATGTAGCCTAGGCTGGCCTCAAACTCCTGGTGATCCTCCTGCTTCAGCCTCCTAAGTGCTGAGATTATAGGCTTTGCTAGCATACCTAGCCATTTGATTGGGCAATTTAGACCTTGTCTTAAAATAAAAAGGGATGAGATTGTAGTCAATGATAAGAGTGCCCCTGGAATTGATTCCCCAGTATGGGGAGAAGAAAAATGAATTCCATGTAAGAGTATGATATATGCATTAGTTTGTATTAAAATAAGAATTCAGGATGAATTTTGAAATTGCTCCCAAATTAGGTGGATCAATAGAAGTCTCCTGTGTCCCCAGTATTGTCTCTGGTCTCTTAGCATCATCACTTGTGTGTCAGTCTTTTTTTTTTTTTTTTGTGTGTGTGTGTGTGTTTGTTTTTTTGGACACAAGATCTCACTCACTATGTAGTACAGGTTGGCCTTAACTCATTATGAAGCCCCGGCTGGCCTTGAACTTGGGGCAATCCTGCTTTAGCCTCCCAAGTGCTGGAGTTTTAGGCATGTGCCGCCATACCTGGCTGGTCTGTCTGTCATTGTTGCTGCACTTACCATAGACTGCCTGTGATCATCCTGAGCAATGCACTTAGCATTTCGTTTTGTAGTGTTGAATGTGGAGTGTGAACCCTGGCTTAGGTCTTGCCCACACTTGCTTGTTGACAATACTGGGCAAGTTTCTTAAAATCTATTCCTCAGTTTCCTGAGCTGGACAGTGGGAAGAATATTTACATAGGGAATATTAGAAAAGATGAGGGATATAAGTGCCTAGTACTGTAATCATTATTTTCCTGTGTTTTTAAATTTATTTTTATTTTTTTTTGGGGGGGGGACTGGGGATTGAACTCACGCCCTTGCACTTGCCTGGCCAGTGCTTATTCTACTGAGCCATCTCCTCAGTCCCTTCCTGTGTTTTTTGAGATATAATGCACATACCGTGAAATTTCACCCGTTTGAACTGAACATTTGGTTAGGCATAGTGTTGCACATCTACAATCTCAGCATTCTGAGAGGCTGAGGCAGGAGATTCGCAAGTTCTAGCCTAGCCTGGGCAACCTAGCAAGCCCCTGTCTCAATATAAAAACAAGGGTTGGGGATTTAGCCTCGTGGAAAGGTACTTGGTTTAATCTCTGGGTTTCACAAACTAAAGCAAAATAGTATAAAGGCTTTTTAATGTATTCATAAGGTGGTGCAACCATCAACATTGTTGTAATTGTAGAACATGTTTACTGTCCCCAAGAGAAAACGTACCCTTGTGCTGTCTCGTCTCATCGCCCCTTCTCACAGCCCCTGGTGACTAGTGAATCCTTTTTTTTTTTGGTGGAACCGGGGATTGAACTCAGACCCTTACATTTGCCAGGCAAGCGCTTATTCTACTGAGCCATCTGCCTGGCCCCAACTAGTGAATCCTATTGATAATAAGTAGTATCTGCTTGAACCCTGGCTGTTGCCTTTGGTGGTTTGGACTCTCTGCCAGGGAGGCTGTGGTCTCAGAAAGCACTATTACATAATGTTAGCAACAAAGAAATGTCACCTTGAAGGCAGCTCCTGTCCAGGAGCCCTGCTATGGAAGGGTTAGCAAGTCCAACAGGATGGACCTTGCTCCCTTGCCTGGCACAGCTGCAAGTGCCCTTGAAGTGGGCACTGCATCACGGCCAGTCAGTTCCTGCGGACGGCAGGGTCAGCTGGCATTGTTTTGTAAGCATTGTTGACATTTCTGTGATGGAAATCTCTGCTGCTGAAATCATACAGAACACTAGAGATAATGCCAGACAACATACTGCTTGAGCTGTTTCTTCTCGTGCTGTTTTTTTTTTTTTTTTTTTTTGGTGGAACTGGAGAGTGAACTCAGGCCCTTGCACTTGCCAGGGAAGCACTTATTCCACTGAGCCATCTCCCCGGCCCCTCGTGCTGTTTTTTTTGAGTAGGGAAGGCAGAACATTTGTAGTCAGGCCTCAGTCAAGGCTCAGCTAGCCATTTTCTATATGAATTTGGGTGAATCACTTCCCCTCTAGGGTTTAGTTTCCTCATCTGTAAATTGAGAACAAGGACTATACATACATA